TAGAAGTCTTTGATCTCAAATTGTTAAATGTTAACCTAACACGCCACATTACTTTTTAGCAGAGAAATAGATATGTAATAGGCAAGGGCAAGGCAAGGCACATTTATTTGTATAGCACAATTCATACACAAGGGAATGAATCGTGAATAATCACAGTACATTAAAAAGAAAGATAGACATATAAATCCCTCAGTTGTATGCACAGCTAAACAGAACTGTTTTAACCTGGATTTAAACAATGTCAGAGTAAAGGCCTGTCTCACATCTTCAGGAAGATTGTTCCAGATTTTAGCAGCATGAATCTGAAAAGCAGCCTCCCCATGTTTAGTTCTGACTCTGGGCACTAACAGGAGTCCAGTCCCTGTGCTCCTCAGAGTCTGGTTCATATGGGACTAACATGTCACTAATATATTTTGGTGCGAGGCCATGGAGAGATTTGTACACAAGCAGAGCTGTTTTAAAGTCTATTCTCTGAGCCACAGGAAGCTAGTGCAGAGACCTGAGAACTGGACTAATGTGGTCGTACTTCCTGGTTTTAGTCAGGACTCATGCTGCTGCATTTTGAATGTACTGCAGCTGTTTTACAGCCTGTTTGGACAGACCTGTGAGCAGGCCATTGCAGTAGTCTAACCTACTGGAGACAAATGCATGGATAAGAATCTCCAAGTCTGCTTTAGACACTATGTTTTTGATCCTGGCAATGTTTTTTAGATGGTAAAAAGCTGCTGATGTTACTGATTTAATGTGGCTATTAAAATTTACGTTTTAGTCCAGTATTACCCCAGTCCATTAGAACCTATTGCATGTCTATTATTTGACATGTAATAGGCATGTAATAGGCATGTAATAGGCATGTAATAGACATGTAATAGACATGTAATAGACATGTAATAGACATGCAATAGACATGTAATAGACATGCAATAGACATGTAATAGACATGCAATAGACATGTAACACATGCAATAGACATGTAATAGACATGCAATAAACATGTAACACATGCAATAGACATGTAACACATGCAATAGATGTGCAATAGACATGTAATAGACATGTAACACATGCAATAGACATGTAACACATGCAATAGACATGTAACACATGCAATAGACATGCAATAGACATGTAACACATGCAATAGACATGCAATAGACATGCAATAAACATGCAATAGACATGCAATAGACATGCAATAAACATGTAACACATGCAATAGACATGCAATAGACATGTAACACATGCAATAGACATGTAATAGACATGCAATAAACATGTAACACATGCAATAGACATGTCTATTGCAATAGACATGCAATAGACATGTAACACATGCAATAGACATGTAACACATGCAATAGACATGTAACACATGCAATAGACATGTAACACATGCAATAGACATGCAATAGACATGCAATAGACATGCAACACATGTAATAGACATGCAATAAACATGTAACACATGCAATAGACATGCAATAGACATGCAATAGACATGCAACACATGTAATAGACATGCAATAAACATGTAACACATGCAATAGACATGCAATAGACATGTAACACATGCAATAGACATGCAATAGACATGCAACACATGCAATAGACATGCAATAGACATGTAACACATGCAATAGACATGTAATAGACATGCAATAGACATGCAATAGACATGCAATAGACATGTACAGTAACACATGCAATAGACATGTAACACATGCAATAGACATGTAATAGACATGCAATAGACATGCAATAGACATATAATAGACATGTAATAGACATGTAATAGACATGCAATAGACGTAATAGACTTGCAATAGACATGTAATAGACATGTAACACATGTAATAGACATGTAATAGACATGCAATAGACATGTAATAGACATGTGTTACATGTCTATTACAGATGTTTTTGTCTTTTTCCTGGAGTTTTGCCACAGACAACTTTAACAAGAATGGAAATGATTAACTGGTCCCTCAACGCAATTGATTCTATCTTTTCAACACGTAAGCGTGGGTCTGGAGAGCCCGTGTGCCCGGACGGGACTTCACCGGCGGGGTATACTCTTGACAGCTGGAACAAGTTTCAGCCCCTCTGTCTGTCGACCCTGTCCATTGAAGATTCAGAAGACGTATATATCTTTGGCATTTTGGTGGGGGGGATCCTCCTGTTTGGGTTTGGAGCGGTCCTCTTCTATCGCAAATTCGGAGGCATGGCAGTTCGCAAGATTCACGACCTGCTGGCCGACAAAATTGATGGGATGTACAAGGAGCTTAGCCGAGTCGTGGTTGAGAGTGCCGTGTCTGGACAAAGGAGAGTGGTGTTGGTGGAACAGTTGATAAAAGACCTCGCAGCTCGTTCACTCGAAGGGAATAAAACTCTGGAGTTGAGATTGAATGACATTGTGTGTCAGGCTTGAACTCTCTGACCCGGCTTGGATTTGCCCCTGTGTACGGAGGTCTGAGGGCGCCGCAATTTGGATTAATTGGATTTAATAGAATATCTGCCTGCTTTTGACTGCTACATTGCATACAATATTGTCCCCCTCAGGCGAGGTGTGTTTTCCTCCTGCTGTGTCTTCTCTCCACTCTTATCTCACATTCCTTTGGCCAAGGCCATAATAACAAGGTCCCCATCTGCAACAATCTCACACTATTTCAGTCTTCAGCAAGGATCCCCTCCCCCCGCCTCCCTCTACCTATCCATCTTGCTCCCTCCCTCCCCTCCACTCCTCATTGTGTTTCCGACTCACTCCCTCCCTGACCCCGCCCCCCTCTGACAGCCACATTCGGCAGTCGGAGGTGCTCATCCCGAGAAAAAAATCTGTGGTTTATACAAAGCACAATGTGTCTATCCAACTGTCTGTGTAACTGTGTGTTATTGCTCTCTGCTGTTTATTCTACTGTTTGTCGCATGGCGCCGTAAAGATGGCGCCGTGGCAAGAGCTCTGGTGTGTGTCGTCTTCTCTGTCTGGTGCACACCGGGGTAGTCTTGCACAGTTTTTCCAATGTGGTTTTACTGCAAATGGCAAATAAATGAATCTGAATCTGAATCTGAGATATGATAAAGATATAATGGGGTTTCTGTGACGAGCGTTGCTGCTGTTAAGAAATGTTGTTTCTTTAGTTTTAATCTTCCACAATATGGAATTAATACATTAGTAAAACCACAAATGCTTCAAAGTATTGTTTACTATTTTTCACTAACACATTCTGTAAGTATTTACAATTAATCAGTTGGTATCTTTATGAAGCTATACAATAGTTTTGGCCTTTGAGTAATTTAGGGCACGGTCACATAGGTTTTTACAAACAAACTCGGTCAAGTGGCCCGGATTGTCGCCACAGGGGTGTGAAGACGGCCCGCGGTCACAAGGGTTTATTTTTTTCAACCATGCCAGACCAAGTGCGCTGTAGTACAATGCTCGGTCCAGCTGCTGGCGTTATTACTAACTTCAGTGTCTACCTCGTTGTCCGTGCCACGTTATCACCACTGTGTGTGGAGTGAAAGAATAATGTGAAGCGTCTTTGAGTGTCCAAAAAAGCACTGTATAACATTTGTATTTTATTCTATTTTTTTTTCTTTTTTTTTGCTCAGTTCAGTTGGAATTCAATGAATGAGACAGGGGATGAACCTGTCTCTTTTACAACATAGTTTTCGCTCAATATTGAGATTTCATACGATGAATACATTTCATTCTGAACCACAGGTGTCAGAGGATTATAAAGAGAAGCAGACAGAATTGCGTTACTTTGAGAGAGGGATCCGTTCCCACGAATGGACGGGCTATAGATCCAGGAACTAAGCTACAGAACGTGGACCAAGGCCACACAGTGGTTGTAGAACGTGGACAAGTCCGGTGCAGGACTGAAGCAACTCCCAGGCGGGTTGGGCAGGGCAGTCCACAGGTGTAGATGGAGGAGGCCAGGTTCAGAGGTCCCGTTGTCGCGCCATGAAACAGACAATGGGACAACGGGTGAATAGCAATGAACAGGCTACAGTTAAAATCCTAATGAAGCATACAGTAGGAAGGAACAGAGGATGGTGCTCAAGTTACCATACTTCACCCAGCAAACTGACTCCATACGCAGTTTGACTGAAAATATACGATTTTTAGTCTTCCCTGAGTCTTATACCTAACCATATGCTACATTGAAGAGGATTGTTTTAAGCCTTGCCTTGAATGTAAAGACCGTGTCTGACTGAAGGAGAGACAGCAGCAGCCACGGCGCAGAGAGATTTAAACACTGGTGTTATGTGCGCCTTCCTTTTGGTACTTGTTAAGATCCTTGCTGCTGTATTTTGAACAGCTCTTCAAAGTGGTTTTAGGGCACGCTGCCAGCAAAGCGTTACAGTAGTCAAGCCTTGCGGTGACAAAAGTGTGGCTCAGTTTTTCCGTGTCACATTTAGGAAAAATACTCCTGATTTTAGCAATGTTACGCAAGTGGAAATACGCCGTTTATGTTACGCCCCCATGACCTGTGGTGTGCCGCAAGGTTCTGTTTTAGGTCGTTTATAGCCCGTCATAACGTGTCCTTCCACTGCTATGCGGGCAGGTTCCTGTTGACTGTTCCGAGGTTGAGGCTCCGGACAAAGGGTGACCGAGCCTTCTCTGTCCGTGCTCCTCGACTTTGGAACGCTCTGCCCAAGGAGATAAGGCTCGCACCATCAGTGTCCTCTTTTAATGCACTTCTTAAAACCCACTTTTATCGAACAGCTTTTAAATGTCAGTTTTAAACTTCAGATGTTGTATTTTACTGTCTGCTCTGTCTTTGTTATGTCTGTCTTCTTGTGTTTCCTCTGTCTGCTTTGTCTTCCTGTATCTGTATCTGTATTCTATCAAATTATTTTGACTTTGTATTATCATGAATGTTTTTATTGTTTATAATGCTGACTGTGAAGCGTTTTGTAAACATTGTGCTATACAAATAAATATTTATTATTATATTTTTATAATAACATCTTAAACAAAAAGCCCTTTTGATTTCTACATGTCGACCTTGTGTCTGAAGGTACAGTTCAAAGATAGGGATAAAAATCGATCCCTAAAGATGGATTTGAAAGGCAGCCTTGAGGTCATGCACTGGGAACAGGTCTGACTTGGAGCCAGCGATGTGAACAAAGATTTGACTCCTGAAGATCTGTCCGGTCATAACGCGACTGGACAGCCATCAACAAAGGACCCCGGACCCCCCACTCTCAGAGAAATATCAAAAATGTACATCTACCTTAAGGACTTTTTCATGAACCTTGCATACAATGGCAAACAATCTCTCAACTTCCTTATTTCTCTCCCCAGATGAAAAAAAAGCCACACTTGTACATTCTGATCTGAGACAAAGACATTTTTAAAAACACACCCATGTAAAATATTTGTCTCTTCATGACAAATATCACATCCTTGTTCCTCAACACATTCTCTGAGATTGAAAGATAACACTTTTCAGATCACAAACTTTGTTATTTCCATTTAGCTTTCCAAACTTCTTTATATTTTTGGCAAGAATGTTTTGAGTTATAACATGAACCTTGTCTGTCTTGCATTTGCATAAAATCCTATGCTCAACAACCTGGAACCATTCTAGACATGTACTGTACACATAACTTGACCACTTCCTTTTCCCCATGGACATCAGTCTGTTTCAAACCTAAGTGATATATTTATCGAATGTATGTACAGTATGTGTAAAAATTATATTACACACATTTACAATATGAATAAAAAGAAGTGAATACCTTTCCTGCTGTGATCATTTTAGTGTTTAACTGTGCATACAACTGAGGGATTTTATATTTTTATCTTTCTTTTTAATGTTCTGTGATTATTTATGATTTTAATGCTTTGTTTTTGTTCAGCACTTTGAATTGCCTTGTGTATGAATTGTGCTATATAAATAAACTTGCCTTGCCTTGCCTTGCCTTGCCTTTGAAAGTACATGCTGTCTTTAAAACTGCTTTACCTTGAAATATATGTCCAGAATGTAACTTTTTTTATAGTTACTTGAGTCATTTCCCACTAAAGTTTCCACTTCTTCTCGATCAAGTTTTATATTTTTTTATATTTTGGTTTACTCTTTGTCCAAACGTTATCACCCAGTGCGGACCATAGACCCGCGGCCAGGACCAGGACCCCCTTGTTGCAAGTTTGTGTCTTTGAGTAACCGAGGTGGATTGTGAAGCCTCAGGAAGCGCATGTCTCCCCCGTATCTCCCCACACAGCACAACTAAAACTCACTAAATTAAAGCTGGGGTACCTACATTAATTGTTCCTTGCATTAATCCTGCATGTTGGTGCATGATTAATGCATGCATGATTAACTACAATGTTGTGAACAAAACAAACCACAACAGGTCCTCTTGTTTAGATTTACAGACTGTGCTTAAGAAAGATCCTGAGAGGGCTGAGAGTAGATTATCTGAGCCAATCTAAATTTAAGCATGAAAAAAACATCTGAGTACCTCACAGAAAAAGTTTTGTGCACCCTGTGTGTACATCACCGACAAACAAGAACTACTACGTCTTCAACATTATTCAACAACATAAAGGCTGCTTGTTTTTACGTTTCCTGACCTTCATTCAATATTTTGACAGAATTAATTCATACATCTATTCGGTGAGGAGGGAAATTTGGAAATGACTGAAGAGATGTAAAGAGCTCTTGTAGGAACTAATAACGTAATAACGGACAGTCCTGATTTTATTGTTTTTTTCTATTTTAGCTGCAGACGATCTTGTAGTTGAAATGTGAACTACGTGATTATGTTGCTGTTTAAACTCATTTATTATGTTATTTTTGCTCAGTTAATCTATGTTAGAATGAAATATAGTTTTAGATCAACTTAATGGCAAAGTAAAAGTTGATAAAAGTTGAAAAAAATAATTCCAATCGCCTGATGAAAGGCTCCACCCACAACCACATGACCCCGCCCCTCGGAGGCCAATATAAACCCAGGAGACATGAAGAAGAGCACACCAGACTTCAGCTCTGATTCTCAACACCGAAGGTTCTTCCTGAACTTGTAAGTAAAGATTCATTTTAGCTTTCCTGAATTCAATAATAAAGTGTGTGCTATACCTTTAATGTGCATTTAACTGTTTCCTTTTCAGACCTGTGCCAAAATGTCTCAGCAAGCCATTACCGACATTGAAGTGTCCCTTAATCAGGCAGACGAACAGCAGCTGCAAGGTCAAGGCTTTCACAGAATTAATGAAGATCTGAACCAAGGATGCTGGGGATATCCTGTGTACATCTGGTACAAAAGGCAGCCTGGTGTGGACCCCATCACCAGGATTCAGATCAGCTTTGTGAATAAGATGAATGCTGGGCTGACTGATGCAGGGTACCAGAAGCTCGACAAAAACCTGATTCCTGGTTCCCCCGTTTACCTCTGGTACTTCAAAGGCCAGACAGAGTATGACACACCCATCGTCAATCTGGAAGTGTCCACTCAGGCCAATGATGATGCTTTAAAGATGAAACTCGGCTTGGAGAGAGTCGGGTACAACCTGAATAGATCCAGACAGTGGATGCAGCTTTGGATGAAGAGAGAGAAGCCAACTTACATCTGTGACGTCACTGCCACCAACTCCTTTGGCTCAGATGCAGATCTTTTTGGGAAGGGCTACATCCGCATTGATGATACGACCAATACAATGTGGTGGGGGGGGATTACCTCCAACTTCCTGTGGTATCGTCAGACCACTGATAAAAATAAGGCCTTGACAAATCTGCAGATCTCCAACAACACAAATCAGAACCAGCAGTGGCAGCAGCAGGGATACAAATTAGTGAACGTGAACCTGAACGAGGGAACGGGAGGAAACGCAGTCTACCTGTGGTACAAGAAAGTGAAGGGAGAAAACCCAGTGAAAACCTTGCTGCTCCTTTCTCAACTGTATGGTCTTACACCCTTCGAGAAGATTGGAGCCACCATCATCCAAGAAGGCGTCAACCCCAGCTACAATGGCCCTCAGCGTTACCTGTGTTATTATAACCAATGAAAAAACGCATTCTAAAAATAACACAGGCAAAGCATCTGTGTAAAAAGCCTCTGTGATGTCAATGAGAATAATTTGGGGATGGCTTTAACATTTAATCAATATTTAGCAAAATTATAATGTACGATTGCAGAAACATGAAATAAATCCTAATCCAATGTTGTTGTGTTTGTGGTTGCATTTGAAATGAGTAAAACACTCGTGGAACACACAACTCTACACTTTGTTGATTTAATCGATTGATAGATTTTTTGTGTGCAAAATCCACAATATTAGGAGACTTCAACACACCTTGTGTTAAAAAGTGGTCGATGAGAGTCAAAATGAGATACTTGAGGAGGCTGTGTGTCAGATCTATATCTACACAGACAATGAAACAAAGTTATATTTCTCTGACAATTGGCCTTCTTGAGATGTACAACTTTATTTCAGATAAAAAACTTTGGGTGGGGTTCACAGCAACATACAATGTAAATATTATATTTTCCTCAATCTGGTCATGTTTTGATTATACTCAGTAGTAATTGTGTTCAATACATACGGCTGTTGTCAAAGAGTTTGTATATACTTTTTATCAACAGCAGTGTTTTATAAGTTTTCAGAGCCGTAGATCAGCCACCATTCAATAACATGTTACTCTCTCTATTCTCTATCACGTCTTTTTATTAAAAGATAATTTATTATTATTATTATAATATTTACAATACTAAAAATCATCAATATTTAAGTCGTAAAGGGTACAGTTCTAACCAACTGTTTGTAAATTTGATCTTGTTTTCAGCTGCTTGTTTTGCAGACGACCTTTGGGGCCAGGGAAACCAGAGGAGCCTCTGAGGATAATCCGAGCACGTTGGGAGGCTCTGCATAAACATCATCAAAACAAGAATCATAGCCCAACAAGTTTGATTATTTTACGACATCAAACAGTAGAGTCAGCCTGGAGACAATTGTGCGTTCTATTGTAAAAACACAAACACTTCCACATATGCATGAGACTTGAAAAAACAATAATAACGTTTCTATAATCACAGGTGAACTTGTTGCCACTGTGTAAAAATGCAGTCTGGAGGTATTGGGTTAGGGTTCATTGTTCTGTCTGGATATCTGGAATATTGAAGCTATTTTTTTAAGTCCCTAGAAAAACCTCCGCACGTAGGAGAAGTAGAAGTCCACGTTTTGCTGGAAGTCCACGCAGATGTTTGAGTATGTGTCCACCAGGGTGCAGTAGAGAGCGGTCCCTCCCAGGCTGATCACCACAGTGACCAGACACAGAAGCAGCAGGATGAGGCACGAGTCCCCTCCTACGACTTCATCTGCAAACATCAGAAACGGAAGTTACGGAAATCACTGTTAGTTCACCAAATCATTGCATCATTTTCAACTCAAATCATGTTTGTTTGCTTTTACTAATACACGTTTAAAGATGTAATTCCACAACTGTCCTGGTGGAGGGTCTGCTTTTTGCCTACATCACTATACTGTAATGTGATTTATACAAACAAATAATGAATGGATGTGTTGATATTGTTGATATGTGCGAGAGTAAATAGTTGGTGGTGGCCCAGGGCAGCTGTGGCTACAATAGAAGTTTACCATGGAGTAAGATTTTTTGTTTGGAGTGAATGAACACTATCTTTGGGGGACATGTCTACATTCAATACAACTTTTTGACAGCTCTCATGACTGTAGGTTTTAAATTTTACTTTTTCGGTGCAAATTAGGGGTTAAAGTAGCAATATCTAAGATTTTCATGTCATGTCATCATTAAATGGCCCTAATCCTTCAAAAGGCATTAATAAAACGGCATTTTCAAATACTTCTTTAACTAATAACAGTAGCTATATTTGGATTTCAAAATTAGTTTTATAGCCCCTATATCTTGTTATTGTTTTCATTTCGATGTCCCACTTTCCATCGTTTTACCAATAGCCTATATGCACGGGGAGGCGAGACGTCATTTCCGGTTAACAAAGCACAGCCCGTTCACTTCCTGCCTATGCTATCGCTATGGCTTTTAGTAATTAGACTGATACATTCAGCTGTTAGACTGACCCAAAAGTGTCGCTGTGCTTTCTCTCTGAGGTAGAGCTTTGACTGTGGCCACTCAGAGCGATTAGTAAACTTTATAAAAGCACAATGACAGCACAATCAACGAGCACTGCTGTGTCCCAAAAATGCCCAGTATCCTCACAGTTTCATTCCCGTTTGAGTATTATTTGGGAAACTCGTGTAAACCACTAATGAAACCACTGCTGTTCCCCGCGCACAGGAAGTGAAGTGGGGTTGTAACTAAAACGCGGAAGTGGTGCGTGCATAGAGCCCATGAGAAAGTCTGTGATCCAGGTTGCCAGAACTCACCACGTTGAGCTAATCTCACAGGAAAAGTAACCTGTGGCCGCAGAACTAAAGAAGGTATCGTTATGATGCAAAAAATCATCAATGACAAAAAGCGGAATAAACAAATGGACAACCAAAGTGAAAAAGGTGTTGATTATAGATTTGTTGTTGACAAAACTATTATATATAGATATTATGCTCCCAGCTGGATTCGTCTGCATCTGCTATCTGGCAACCTGAGTCAGGGAGAGTGCAGTATCACTTTTGGCCAGATTTTTTACACACTGCTCCTTTAAATATGACCACATTGTTTATAGACTGAAACAAAATGTGGATTCAAAACTCTTTAAATGAAGTGTATGCAGTCTAATGTAAAATCACTTGGTTAAATGTCATTTCCTTGGCCGGTCAAAAAGAAGAAGATTTAGAGACAATAGCGTCTTACCGTGCTCCGTGTGGTCGTCCGGCTCAGTGAAGCGGACTTTGCGTTGTGCGTTCTCTTTGGCGGCAGTGGGAGGAGGCAGCCCGTCCAGAGAGGCTCTCCTCCGCTTCAAGATGGACACCAGGCCATCGGGCGACGAATTCTGGAACCAAACAACAAATGAACAAACACTGGAGTGAAGCGTTGAAGGATTATGAGGGCAAATCGACAGCCAATCCTCAGGAGCTCAGAGTCCTCATTTATAGAACTATGTATTTTCTATGAACAAAAACTTTAATGAAATAATAAAGATAATGATATAAGCACTGTGTATAGTCTGAATATAATTGGCCCAGTGACCTCTTCGAGTGAGCGGCCCGTGAGTAATGTCTGTGGATGCGTCCGACAGTTGCAGTTTGTTCATTCATTAAAATCAGGTCAAAGCTCCAACACTTCCACTGCTGCTCTGTAGTGCTGCATGACTCTCAATTATTTATGATTGCAAAAAACAAATGATACATGCAACAAATTAGTTAATTAGATATATATATAATGTATATATACAACATTGACTTTTTAAAGCTTTTAACCATCAACTTATCAACTCATCAAAAACAGCCCTGGTTTTTTTTTTTATCCGTCCTTGCAACCGGTATGTTGCTGTCTATTTGTTACTGTTTATTTTGTGTTGAATGTGTGCACAAGTTTAAAGTAATTATATACTGTATATATTTGTTCTGTCTAAATAATCCTATCTCAATAAAGTTTTGGCGATTTCCTTTCACATGGCCTTGATAACAGTCAGTAATTTAACAAAAACAACAACTCCTCCCTCTGGTGGTAGCATAGGGAGTTACAGGCCAAAAACATGTTTAACCCTTCATACTTTTTACTATCATACTTTAGATAAAGGCCAAACATAAAGCACATTATTACTTTAATAATACTGTTTTGGGTGTGAGCACTTATATTGTTTGTAAATCTATATTACATATTATAGTAATGTTCACAAAAGAGAATATACCATTCTTAAGTACATGAGAATGGTTCCCTTGAAATGCAAAGTGCAATGTAAATAAAATATGTCATTGTTATTATTATTTTACAACATATGTAACAAAGATGGACCGTAAAAAGGCGGGTGTTTGTGGAGCAGACGACACAATGAGACAGAGCAGGAAGGAAAGCTTGTAGCAGGATATGAAGGGAGGAGTAAATGGACAGATAATAACTTTTTGGCACGTTTTTTTCTTTGAAAGATGTGATTCTCCCACGAAAATATGCATGCGTTTAGCTTATTGTTTGAACTCTGTAATATTCTGAAATCCTACAGCCCCTAAGGAGGTGATGCGATGGCAGAAACGTATTCTGACCATACCCTGTACTATCATGTTAAATGAGTCACTTTAAAAAAATAACACATTTAATACCATTATTATCAATATTACCTCCTGGTTCCATGAAAACCTGTGAGATTTAATGCAGGGATATAGTTGGATCCATAGCAAGGATTTGAATTTAGTCCAATCTGTAAGCTGTAGAGGTGAACACGGGTGGGTCTCATCATTCTTTTCCTTCACAAATCTCACTTCAAAAACTTGTAAAAATCAAAGGTTTCTTTTTTTTTTTTTTTGGTTGGATGCATTAAAGACATCAGTCCGATGTCAAAATCAGTCAAAATCAGTGAAATCTCGAAGAGTGCTTACCCCCGCTTTGGTAGAGAGCTTGGCCAGGTCCTTCTCGGAGGCCTGGGGCACTCCTGTGGGCCACTCCACCCTGAGCTCCTCTTCCTCTGGGGTGGTCTCTTCCTCCACCTCCTGGCCCTCCTCAAACAGCTCCGCTTCAGGCTCTGAGCGCGGGAACTGAGCCCTGCCCTTGGCCTCCATCAGCTGTGACTTCAGCCGGTCCACTGCAGCAGAAACATAAACACTTGTTATTACCCATGATTAAAACAAACCAGTCTCTTTAAAAACAATGTGGAAGTCAGATGTATAAAGTATATGTGTTGAATGTGTTTTTAGATTGAAACAGCCTGCATGAGAATCTACACCCGACGAAAACATCTGCTAAAAGTCAGTTCAACTTTAGTAATATGAAGAAAGAGAAGATGATTTTATCTCACTAATATGGCTTCTTTGAACTCTATTAAATAAATGTATAAAAACTCAATTTTAGGAAGTAACCATGTAATCAAAATCAGATTGCTCTGGCCCCAATGCAGGTAGGAAATGACTGAAGACAAAACAACAATGGTTTTAGAAATAGACAAAATTGAGGCAAACAATTTCACTACAATGGTTTTAGAAATAGACAAAATTGAGGCAAACAATTTCACTACAATTGTTTGCAACATATTGAAGTGTGTTCCCATGATTTCAAAGTCAACATAACTTTACACTGATAAACAAGAGATTACCTTCATCCTGGCAGCTTTTCAACACATCGGTCTTGTTCTGGATGTCTTTAAATATTGATGCCAATGTCTTCTGCAAAAAAACATATAAAACGTTTTCAGTCTTAAAAAACTGTAAGTAGAATGTTTTAGTGTTTCACCTGCTCAATGTTGCTGCTGGATGAAGATGATGGACTGAAAGACAAAGACGAGATCACAAGACCATACTATAGTTTAGATGTGCAAGTACAAAATATCCACAGAGATAAACAAGCTTAAACAGATTTTAAAAATGGGGTGATAGCAACATTAGTACAACAATGATAAGAGCTGAGTCACAATAGATATAGAAAATGTTATTGGTAAAAATCATTTGGAACTCACACCAATGTCAGTATTCAACATAATACTTTCAAATTCAAATATGGTGTGCAGGAAATACAGATTTAAAGAAAGTAAGTTCACTTATTAAGTGAATTTAGACTAGTTTAGAGGCACCGTTTTTTAAAAGACTTTGAACGTAACATAATAGCTTAAAGATCCACCACAACGTATCAGGTTTAGACAAAAGAGACAGAGGGGACGGGTTAGTGCCAGAAGATCTAGATGTTCAAAAACAATAAAAAAGGATCTAAAAACCATTCTGGGTTCTTAATCAAGAAAAAAATTAGCCAAACTGAAAATATATGAGACAGGTTTATGAATTTTTAACTCACCCTACGATAAATTTTTGCAAAGCTTTTTTTGGTCTTCATGGATAGTGTACATTGATCCATTGCTTTTATTTTGCAGGGCATATACTTTGATTATTAAATCAGCGTTATCTCTGATAAACAATAAGTAGATTATAGAAACCTGAGATGACTCCTGCAGATGTGGCAGAGTGTGTCCATCTGACTCTTTGCTTCGTGAGGCGACTCTTCCTCAGCGCCCCTTCTCTCCTTCCACTGACTCTCTGAAAAATCATATCACACACTTAAGTTAAGACAAACATACAGTAATATCAGAAAGTATCATTTATAGATATGAATTTAACACAACTGAAAACAGATGTGGTGGAAAGAGCTGATCTCCATGTAACATTGTATGGCTTTTTGTGTCATCTCACGTTTTATTCAAACTTAAATAGTGCCCCTTTAGGCCATTTTCAGCCAAGCTGGTGCTTGCTGGTGCTGGTATCTGTGTCGTGCTGGTGTCGGCTCCCATTTCTTTTGTTTTTACTCAAAAAAACTGACAGTGCCCCAGTTCTGACCAGGCCAGAAATGGGAACCAATTCTGCTGAAACACTAAACATAAAAAAATAATTTTCTTTCTAGCTCTTTTTGGAAGTAAGTATTTGAGAAGGTGAAATAAAGTTGATCAATAAATCCATTTTAAATAAAGTTAGTGGAGAAGCTAATGAAAGCTATCTTCCCCGAGTGAAAAGAGTTTTGCTATTGTTAAGGGAACTAGCCCAACTCTGGTGGAAAACTGAGACAAAACTACCAAGAACCAGAATCTTGGTGTACAAGGGGTATTTGAATCCTTAACTTTATTTCTAACAGGGTTCTGTGGTGGGTAATACACTGTGTGTTGTAGTCAAATGCATTCCTCGCTGTAGGCTGGGACCCTCCTTTGGCAGTCGATAGAGTGAATTCTTTCAAAGAGCTCCTCTCAAACAGAGCTGTGGTGTTGGGAGATCACCCTTCGCATGCATATATGTATAATATACACATTTATTATGACACAAACATGTGACTGCAGTACCCCAGCTCTCCTGCAGGGCGCTGAGGTTGGACAGCAGGCGCTCATGGTAAAGCTTCTCCAGCTCCAGGAACTGAACGGCCAAATGGTCTGAGCACAGTCAAGTTAAGGACCAGAGTCAAACACTCAGAAGTGAGGCACCTCCCCTATGAAGATAAAGGATTATTTATGGCTCATTTTAGACTTCTTTTATCCTGTTTTTATGTGTGAATAAAGATGTAGTTATTAAAAAGTTACCCCAGTGAGTGGTTGGATCCACCCTTTCTTATCACAACATTATAATCTACTCTCTGGATACATTGATCAAGGCAATGGCTATGAAACATAATGCCTTTTTATATTCCTACGTGTGCTTCTGAAATTCACTTCAGCAAAAGAGCTTGCCTTTGTGCTCAGGACACAAACACAAACTTCTCTGTTCACATTTGGTTCAGCTCAGAGCCGTTTCTACGGAGACGCTCAAACAGAGCAGAGGAAACTCCCACTGCTGAGTCCAACAGCAGACACCGCCCAGACCCAGGGGACGTGAGCTGCATGAGGCTAGAGTCCGGTTTAGTGAGAATTAGCACACGAGAAGTGTATCTTTAATATAAGTCTTTAATGTGATAATAAATGGAATGTTTCAGATTTACTCCAGTGAAATGTAAAGAACTTGGGATCATTAAAAACTGTATTTTCTGTCTAATTTCCGGTTTAGATAATTTATCATTTATTTAGCAATTATTTTATTATTAATTGGTATGTCTTTTCAGACCAATCTTATGAATTGCTTAATTTTCTAATATGCTGTTGGCAAATCAAAAAAATTTGAAATACTTCGAGTCAATTTTGGGCTATAAAAAAATGTATTGATCAGAAAGGCTAATTTAAGAAGAAATATTATGGATTGTTTTGGGCCTTTACAAATTATATTGAGAATATTGACTAAATATTGTATGTTATTTTATGTTTTAGAACGTGAAATAATATCTTAAGTAGAAAATATATGGCGTAACAACTATGGCAAGGTGTAAATTCAATCAGTAGAGGGAGAACTCACATTTCTTTTGTATTTTCCAAACTCGAAAATAACTGGCCACAAACCATGCGAATGTGGAGAACAATATTTCACCTGAGAAATCACCAAAACTAATTCATGGGTAATTATTTTATTCTAAAGACATAAAATTGCTCTGAAATGTCATACTATCACAGTACGGAGCTTTTAGACAGAAGAGGCAGAGTTTTTACCACAATATGTCTCGTTTAAACCTGGCTGATGGTGGCCTATAAAACTAAATTGTATTACGTATTGGCCCAAAGTATAGTTCTTTTCCCTCCAAAGACCTTAATCATTTATGTGTCATCATTGTTTAAGTGTATAGCCTTCACCATATGTTACGAGCTAAAAACTGCATCAGGAACAACATGTGTACGATAGATGAGTTTGTGTTTTTTCTGTCCACCTCAGACAGTGCAGGTAGTTTAAATCCTACTCAGTGGTCTATTTCCTTTGTTACCAGACCTTATATTTGCTTGATCCTCAAACCTCAGTAGTATAAAAAACCATGAACACACACTAAACTACATGTGTGGGTTGAGGATGTTTCCATTGCTCAGATCAGATTTCACAGAAAGACAAGCGTGCACTTGAAAGGATACATTGTTCCTGGAGAGAGTAGGCCTCTGCGATCTGAAAAGCAGATAACACAAAAGTCATCACACAAGTTCATGTACAAGAAGTCGCCGGCTTTGTCACAACATACTTATTAAGTGTTTTACCAGCACCAGTACCAGCACCAGTATATCAGTATTTGTATATGTGTAAGTTCCTATTTAGTCGAAGGAATCACCAACTTGGCTTTGATTCCCTTCTCTTTTTTGTTGTTTTCTTTGGTTGTGACCTTTTATGATGCACAAAAGATTATGTATGGACAACAGTCACAACTCTGGATCATTTGTTTCATCCAACTGTTTTGATCCATTCTGCAGTTATATGAGCCAAGGCTACAATATAGATATTTATGGGTGATTATATCTAAGGTTTTTGTTCAGATAAATCCAGCATTTCAGATTTATGCTGCCAAATCTGGAGCAGTATTTAAATGTAAGACAGACTTCTACTTTGACAGTGTTAAAAAACGTAGGGTCAAAAACAACTGTTCTGCTGTGCATGTGTCTGAATAAGCATCACAAAGTACCAATCTGAAAACCAGTGTGAAAACAAATAACACATTCTTCTGTATTCAGTCCCATCATATCACCACAGATACACTAAGCAATCAGTGGATATTTTTCCTTAGTAAAACTGACTGCGTATCGCTGCTAAATTGGTATATATATATATCTGTGTATCGCAGATTCAGAAAATAAAATTGGGGAATAAAGGAAAAACAGTGGTCAAGAGGCAAAGAGATGGATGCAAGCTATGGTGGTACTACTTATAAACTAATAAAAGATGCCAATGTCATATCTTAACTAAGACCAAATCATGCTTTATTCACAGTTAATAGGGCAATAACTATGCTTCATTTTGTGGTACTCACTTCTACGTTTATCTACGTTTATCAGATCCAAATACTACAGTTTGTCATTAAGCTGGGATTCTAAAGGTGCACAAAATGAAAAGTCCACCTGAGTGCACTTGTGATGGCTGAGTCTACCTGAGCTGTCCACAAATGGATATTATCTTGGTCCAAATTCATCAGATTCCAGCAGCGTCACATGGTGCAGTCCCAGTGAGACACATGGTCACATGGAAGCACTTATGTTCAGACTGGTTTCTACTTTAACTCCTTCAATTCTTCATCTTTTTACTCCTTTGTGCAAACTATCCTGCAACTATTTATGTTATAACCACTGTAAATGAGTTTCAGCATTCATTTATTTGGCATTTTTTGTAATGTATTTAGCAAATCCAGTGGGTTTTCATTTACTTAACAGATCTGTCGAAAAAATTATGTATTGTTCTTGTAATAGATGCATGGTATTTATAAAATAGCAAATGCTCATGTTAATTTTGTCCCTTAAAGATTATCTTGAGAATAATTACTTTGGCATTTCAGGGTTTAGAATGTGAAATTGTTCAGAAAATATATTGCTATATAGTTTTTGCATATAGTCCATGTGCAGAGCCGTTATCCCGGTTTGTGCACAAGACTCAAATCAACTATTTTTAGCCTCGTCGTCGTGGAAGCGGCTGTTTCACGTGACCCTGAGGGAAAGATGACTAACGTGAACTCTGGAAGAATACGAGCAAATCTGAAATTACGCTTCATATCACATGGTCCACATTCTGCTAGAATTGCAGCAACAAACACATTTTATGAACGAAAAATCCAATCAGCAAAACTGCAATAACGATTATCTTCAACAAAGTGATTTCTGAACAGAGAAATTGTGTGTGATTATTTCTATATGTTTATGCTCATAAATTATATGGTCAGAATATTTCTGATGAGTGAAGAAAAAGCATTCCTTGTGTATGAACTGTACAATTCAAATAGAGTTGAGGACAGATCCCATAATTTTAAAACTGTCATTTAAAAGTGTAAAGAGCAGAAGAACGACATGTGTGCATTAAAGGTGATGTCATCAACTAAAATCTTATTTATTTTGTAAAAGCCACAAAATGCAAAGGGTCCATCGGACCCACAAACACTGGCTGAGTAACAGCTATATAAACATTATACAAGCGTTAAAAGAATGTATATTTCTGACAATGGGGCACTGTGCCGTCATGTTGTTAGACTTGTTCAACATCAATACATTTAAAACAGTCCCTTCTCTCTGAATAGTACAAGTAATATTTGCTGCAGGAGAATAGTAAAACCCTATGGGTCTCTTCACAATTTGAAAAGTAACTGGCATTCACGCAAATAGAAACAATATAAGTGCATTTGTACTTGTAAGTCTATATTTGGTTCAGCTGCATCGTCAATGATAATACATTTTTTAAAGAAATAATTCACGCTTCTTGTTCTTAGGTTCTGTTCTGGCAGTTTTCATCAGTTCTAAAATAGCTTCTCTTTTAAAGATGTGACACAGGAATAGGATTTCAGAGCTTATGTCGGGAACATTTTCTGGTTTGGAAATACAATATGGGATCAGCTGAAACCCTGGATGTCAGAAGATAAAGTGTCCGATGCTGCCCCACAATTCTCACTACATTTCACAGTCCTAGATCTGTCCGTCTGCGGGACGGGAGTGGATCCCTCCCTGGGGGTTTTTGCATCATCACTTTTGACTTTTTCCCGGGGACTTTATATAAATTGCTACCTATGGGCCAATGACCCTTAGGTGATTTATTGAAATGCAAGTAAGTCATTTTTTTTTTTAATTTGAGGTCAGACTAAGCATAATACAATTTGGTATCATTTCTATTCATTCAACACACGGTGATGACAGAGGCAATGTGAGGCAATTTGATTTTATAATCTGCTGTTGGCGAATCCACATTGCCGTGACGCCCTTTGAGGGAACTGTTGTGGTAATTCTGGGCATTACATAATTTATTTGATTTTGATTAGACCCAAAGTGGAACAATGATCTCTTCCAGCAGCCTTTTGTAGATTTTGCTTGATCAGTTGTGTTTCATTGTTGTGGACAGTGACCGTGCGCAGACCTGGTGCAGAGACTGAGGCAGCAGAGTGTAGTCCTGGTTTTCTCCCAGGGACTGAAGTGACTCCAACAGCTCTGCACTGGGGACGAGGCCTCCACCTCCCGAGACGCTTCCTACAAACAAACAACAGTCACGTTTAGCTTCAGTCTTTCCTCATTCACACCAATTAAACACAACCATCACCACGGCCCCACTCCAAAGGAACTAGAATGAGTCCAGGAAATGCGACTTTTTTCTGAGAATGACTGCATAAATATAGAAGGAAAACTAATTGTTACAAAAAGAGGATATTGATGCTGAGCAGATGCATCACTCGCTCTTACTGTTTGCAGTGTGTTTTGTAAATAATGCGTTTACTTGACAAAGTTAGTGAGTAAGTCAAGTGTATTTGTATAGCGCCTTTCACAGTCCAGGATCACAAAGTGCTTCACATTTAAAAAACCAATACCAGTCAGATTTGAAAACAAAGAAACAGAAGAGGGTCCTCAGCATGATCTGTGATGTATTCGAAGTTTGCATGTTTCCATTAGACTTTTTCTGATGCAAAAATTCAAATTTCAAAACATGATGCTCCATGAAAACGCAGCCTATAATTTTGCCAGAGTGTGAATATGTTTATTGTTGTCCAAATCTTGAATTTCATGCCTGTTTTGGCGAGTTGTGATGAAGGTTGAGATGGGTGTAAAATTTACTTTACATCCAGATTGATAAATGCCGAAAAGTGTACGTTTTTTGCGTACGCCTCATTTACACCCTGATTTGGCCGTACGCAAGTTTCATAAATGAGGGCCAGTATGTGTATACAGAACAGTTGGCAAAATTATGATTAATGTATGAATGTGACTATTTCTGCTCAAAAGAATGAATAAAAAACGAACAAATGAATTGATTATTAATAACTGGCCCTTGTGCCTCTGCTGGGTGAGTGTCAGGCTGTGTCCTTCTGAGGTGATGGAAGCAGACACTGTTTACTCAGCTCAGTCAGGGCTGTCAGACGGGGCCCCTGAAGACTCCACAGGGACAATCAGACACACAAGACTCTTACGTAAGGCGGCTTTTCCACTGCAGATTGTCAAAGTGTAAGAGAAAAGAGATACAGTCCCAAGGCTTAGCATTATCCCGAGGTTCCGGTGGTCAGGAAAACACAGTAGATTAAAAAAGAACGTTATTGTACTCACTTTTACAGATGTGATTCACGCACATTTGTGAAGAAATTTACTTCACTTACAAAATAATTAAATTTGACTAATGATAGACTGAAAGATACTTGAGTGAGAAGTAAGTGACCACAGCCGTTATCTTCACCACACTTTTTCAAAACAACATATCATCATTTCATGGAAACTGAAATCACATGATCACATTCCACATGTAGATAAAAAAACATAACAGACAGAGACGACGTGGATAAATAAGGGGTTGGAGGAAGCAGGGTTGCAGGAGCTTATATGATTCTAATTGTCAACCACTAAGGTCAAGGGAAAAGGTCAGGTTTATGGAGAGGCAAGCTCACAGGAAGCTCGGTAAAGGGTAGGGAAGGTCATCTTTCAGAGCCTAGAGATACGCATGACACAATATTTAGCCACTGGACTTTCAATTTGACACCATTTGTCATAGTTAAGTTAGTTTAATATGATACAATATTTTTTCTAAAACAATACTATATGATTCAGTAAAATGTAGAAACTTTTTGATCCCTTATCTAACGCTCCACCAAGAAATAGACAGACATGATTTGAAGAAAAAAACAGGAAACATTTCAAACTATAATAATACATGATAATGATATTGTATCTAATTCTAAGATATCAATATTTTGTCTAAAAATCCAATTAGGCCTCTATCCATGCATAAAAGTTAAATGCAAGTGCAATTTTAGCAATTTCGTTAATCAGTGCTAATCATTAAGGGTTGCTAATCGTTTTTGCGCACACACAAACCCTTGGTAAATACTACCCCCTATGTTTCAGTGCGAGAAAAAATACATATTGTGCAGAGTAATATCTAAAACTTTATGCATTTGTATGAGACAAATGTTATGTACCACGGCTTTGACTGAACTGCTAAAATATTACAAAGAAAATAAGACAGACTTCAAATTCATAGTTTTACATCTAAGGTGTACTGTAACTGTATTCTTCTATCTATCAATGAGCCATGTACTGATGACATTTGCACATAGAGAGTTTTAGAAAATGCCTTGTTGCCTGTCTAGCTAAACTATTCTTAACTAACGTCTCTGATATATGCATTTGAGTGGTGTTTACCTGCGTCCTGTCCCTGTGTGGTCTCTGTGTCTGTGTCCATGCTGCTGCTGCTGCTGCTGCTGCTGCTCTTGTTACCCATCACACTCCAACAGAGCGTTTTTCACATGTAGAGCTGAAAAACAAATATAGATTCTCAGTTTTTAATTGCAGAACGTCTTCTGTATCAGTGCAGAAACCCGGTGGGAGAAAACGTTTTGGTTTCTTTCAAGCTCAAGAAAAGAAAAGAGTGGCTGATCATGTGACTTAATCCTCTGTCTGAAGGAAAAGGCCTCACATCTTCATACATTTGAGACTTTGGGAGTTTGGTTATAGCCCCGGATGATTGGCTACATCAAAAAATGAGCGTATGGAGAGATGGATAAGGATATTAAAGCAGGGCTGCCTATTTTTAAACAAATATTATATGTCTAGTAAAATCCATCTGATAGTACTCAATCTCGGGAAAAAGTTCTTGTTTTTTACACCCATGTAAAGCCTTGTTTTACTTCCATCACATCTTTAGATCCGTTTTTTTCAATCAATTAATCAACTTCGATTTGTAGAGCGCCTTTCACATCATATCACAGAGCGCCTTTCACATCATATCACATCAGGCATAAATCATAAAGATTAAAATCTGTACATTAAAAACAAAAATTAACAGTTTTTTCACAAAGAGATAACTGCCCTCACTCAACTGGACTGGCTCAAAAAAACATGTACATTTATTACAAAAGGTCCCCCAGCTTTAAGTGTTCTTTGATGCGTTGAGGTTTTCCATATAGGGATGATTAAAGTATTTGCAGTGTTGTGTTACATGATAAAGTTCCAAAACGCTCAAGGAAGATTGTTGGCTGCAGGCGAATATTCATATCCTGACATTGAAAATTGTTAGAATAATATATTTTTTTCAATAAAGGATCTGATGAAAACCATCTGTTTGAGTAATTCATATAAGTCTCAAGAACATTTGTAATAAAACATTCAGACGATGATAAAATTGTTGGCATATTGGTCACAAATAAACACAAAATATGTACATTTCTTGTGTAACCTCTTGACAAAGGCACAGACAGACCCAGCGTAGGTGTAAAATATGTAATAATCCTGCGCTGTACATAACGATTTGAATCCCTTGAGGAATGACAGCAAAATATATTCAGGGAAATTGGATAAAGCTGTTTCATAACCAAGTATTTGGAGAATGTCCCTGGGGGGATGATGGTATTCAATTGAATCACAAATGAATTTCATCCGAGGTTGCAGTCTGTATCCAGCTGTGTTAGTTTAGGGAAGACATCTAAAGCTATAATGACAGGGGATGGATGAGAAATCTTGAAATAAATCTTCATAAATGGAAATTCGGTCAAAACCTATAACGGTGATGTTTTTTGCGCGTTCACTTCACTCACTGTTGGACACTTTGGAGGCGCGCGCGTGCCTGTCCCACGCACGAACAACTGGAATTACTTGTCAATTATTACTCCCGCAGATGCAGGGACAGATGTACATTTCATTATATTCAGTTGTAAACAGGAGTCAAAGTAAATAAATGCAGCGTTTGATTACAACAATACATTGTCCCAAATGATGGCAGCAGTCGTATCCCGGGATTATATCTGGATAACAGATTAAAACTTAATTAAGACCCAAGCAATGCAGCAATTAACTATACGTAACATTGCACGCTGTTTTTTTTCTCCATAACTCGACGCCATTTCAGAATCGCCTGCAAAACACGTCTCATGCACTGCCGTGTTGTTTATACTAAAGATCCAGACAGACCACGGCACACACGCGTCTCTCCTGTCCTGTCTCTTCTTACCACGCATCTTTCTCGCCTCCAGCCTGAAAACGCGATTCTTCTCCAGGCTGTGCTTCTCGTCCGTGCGCCTCTGTCCAGGTCATGTCATGCCCCTCTCGCCGCTCTCATCCTCGCATTCTGCTATTTTCTCCTCATCGTTAAATCCTCATATATTCTTTACATGCGCCGCTGGTTCCGCTGTTTATGTCGCGCGGAGACTGGAGACAATGCTGCGCCCTAGCGGAAGAAGTGGAACACTGCACTGACAGAGTGTGAGCAGACCTACGATGGGATTAAATGCAGTGGATTATACACCCAATAGGATACAATGTAACTGTACTATGTATTTTGTTTCTTACGTCTGCTAAGAATGAATAAATAAATGTTTCTTAAATTTGCTAGTGTGTCCAATTTAAAGCTGGGACACCAACTTAGTTGTTTAAATAAATTATATATGTGCTTGTCCCAAGTGAAAAAATCTTACAAAAGTTAAATGTGTTTGAACAAATCAGATGTCAACATTCTCTCTTTATCGTTTCCTTTATCTAGGAAACGTCATATTTTAAATGAGTCACTATTTGACGCTTTGGGCTGAGAGTGAATGAAAAACCCAAAGGCGGAAAAAGTGATATTGGATTATTATAATAGATCCATGGTTCTATCTCATCCATCTTTGAGTATGCGCAGTTCGAGAATTAAATGACTCACCCGTGACCTCTCCGTGACCCACGTGACCCGACAGCTCAGTCTCTTCTTCTTCTCGCAGCGCAGGCATGAATCTATAGAGCGCAGGTTACGAGTTGAGAGTTTGCGCTGATATTCATACAGCTTGCCCACCAGCTCCGTGACTTCTGTCGAGGCAGAGGATACTTAAGTCTCGCCCCTCAAGGCCTGTGGAAGCCTCACCGGTTAATTGTGTGTGCTTATTATTTTGTTCAGCTTTTCTGTTTTCAGAGTGAGGTATGGTTTGCTTTTCTACAGTTGTACTGTTTGCTCTCTGTTCAGTTTGTTGCTTATGCTCTGTTTGGTCTGTCGTTAGGTGGCGTCCTCTGCCCCACCTGCCTCTTTGATTGGCCCACCTGGTCCTTGGCCCACCTGGCTCTTTGATTGGCCCACGTTATGTGTGGCAAGCTGGACTTGGCCACCATATTTGTGTCCACCAGAGGGCGCATAAACGTATAAATAGCCCAGAGCTACGTCTTTTGTTCACGTCTGCACTTCCCTCTCCTGTGTGTGGGCGCGCCAGCCCTTCTCCAGGTAGAAGAGTTCTAGTGTTCCTGTTCATACTTGTAAGTTGCAGCCACTAATGGTAAATTGTTGTTGTAGTGCGGCATTGTGCCCCGCGAGTTCTGCTTTTAAATGGCCATGTTGTCCTGTCCCTTTGGCGTCTGGCCGCTCTCGTGTGAGTGTGTCGTAGCCATGGATCTATTATATTAACTGGATAGGGTATTACTAGCTTGTAGCTGAATAACTCAGGGGATTCTCGCGGTACTGCAGACTGAACCAGACTAAATTCACGTGGGCTACCCAGAAATTTTCCCCATAGAACTCAATGCATATTAAAACAGCTCGACCTCAGCTGACAGAGAAGCTACAGCTTTAATAAAGATAGGATTTTGTGGGGATTTTAGTGTCCCTTGTCATCCTGAACTTTTTTTCTTCTTAAATCCTTTGGTTTTGTTTAAATCCACACTTTACTGCCACAAACTCTGCTCGTCTGGCTCTCGCTCTAACTCCCGCTCTGATGAACTGCTCTGATTGGTCAGAGCGCGGCTGAGCCCCTCTGTGCACGTGCGTGAGACCCGGTGTGAGACCCACACACGCGTGTTTGGCGCAACGCATTATGGGAGATCATCCACTGCACAGAACCGGGAGGACCAGACGATGCCCAAATACAGGCGAGTTTCCCAAAGTTCTTTGCGAGTTTCCCAAAGTTCTTTGCGAGTTTCCCAAAGTTCTTTGCGAGTTTCCCATAGATCTTTGCGAGTTTCAGGCAACTTCCGCTAATCTTTTCAGCCCCCATGCCGTCACAAAGCGCCACTGAGCATAACCATTCATTTGAATAGGGCGCCATCTTGGATCGCCGGGGCTTGGTCGTAGCCGGCTGTGGGTCTGGGCCTGTAAACCGTCACCTGTCACGGGTGCGCGCTCAGCATTTGCCCTTGAAGTAGGTTTTAGCTGCGCACACTGACAGCATTGTGGTTGACCCAATAGCTAACTTAACTCTACTTTAATTCGTAGGCTGGGGACTGGCCACATCGCGGCCCACCGCTGTTTCTTTCTTCGTTTCTCCTGTTTCTCTCCCTGTTCCATGTTTCTTTGTGTGTTCACCTGTGCCCCTGAGTCCATCGCGACAGGAGGAAACGCATCCTGAACCAGGAAAACTAAACATAATATAATAAATCCTAGTAATTAATAATTACTTAATGTAACCTGTTCTACGAATAGGTGCGTAGTCCCTTAGGACTTCGCTAGTGGGATATCACTCGTGACCCCCAGGTCACACGCCAGAGAGATCAAAATAATTAGCTCCAATCACCAGCTACCTTCCTCTATAAATGCCCCTGCACAAGGCCGCACCCCCTCTTGAACTCTGCCAAGCCGGGCTGGCCTGATGGGCTCGTAGCTAAGGGACTACGCACCTATTCGTAGAACTTAAGTTACATTAAGTAACTATTAATTCTACGTCATGGTGCTACGTCCCTTAGGACTTCGCTAGTGGGACACAATGCGGAGGCCGTAGGAAAATGTACTCCCAGCAGGCCAGCGAAGGGTGATTGGAGCTCCGCCCGAGCAAGACCCTCACAACGTGAGAGGACTCAGGGCAGAAGAAACAAGCGTGTTACGGGGCCACTCCTACCAAGGATACCCCCACGTAACACAAGCCGTAGGTCATCCGTAGTCACAGGACGCCTCTCCCAAGAGCTCCTGACGTGGACTACCAGACCGACCAAACACAAAAATGTACCGCACCTGTAGGATGCCTCTCCCAAGAGCTCCTGCACCAGGGCGAAAATAAACCGAAGGCCCCCTCAGGGGAGGGACCCAACGGTCTAACTCAGTCCGCTGCACTCAGCACGGAATGGGCCACCGACCGGTCCGACACATCCGAAAGATAGGACCGGACGAAAGAGGAGGACGACGCCCAAGAAGCCGCACGGCAGACGTCCTCGACCGACGCCCCCCTGAGAAGGGCCGTAGAGGCCGCCATCCCACGCGTGGAATGCGACCTGAAACCCACCGGGGGGGCCAGACCC